GTATGTATGTATGTATGTATGTATGTATGTATGTATGTATGTATGTATGTATGTATGTACGTACGTACGTACGTACATACATACATACATGTATACATACATACATACATAAATAAATAAATAAATAGTGGCACCAGGGCTATGTAAAGGTGCCAAAGTCTTGTATGACCTAAAATTCTGTCAAAATTATATTTTTTTATTACAAGAGAAGGAAAAATATTCAAACATAATAATAAAAATGAACTATTCATTACGGTTTTCAAATAGGACTTTTAACTACAATATGGCCTGGACTTGTGGCTCCTGCTCAAAGAGCAGATGGCAGATGTGTCTAGGAGGGCTTAAGCATATCTTTGCTGCGCCCATACTTGGGGCAGGCGGACCTGCACATAGTAACTCACACTTTTGTAACCTCTAGGATAGACTACTGTAACATTCTCTACATGGGGCTGCTCTGAAGACCATTCAAAAACTTCAACTTGCTTCCAATTCAAGGTCCTGGTGGTTACCTTTAAAGATCTAAATGACTTGAGATTGAGGTACTGGAAAACTCTCCTTTTTTCAAGAGTCTCTTACTCGTTCAACTAATTTAACAGAATGAACTTGATGCAGATCTCATCAGTCAAAGAATGCCAAGTAGCAGGGATCAGAAGATGAGCCTTTTCCACAGTGGCCCCTGCTCTATGGAACATCCTTCAGAGATTTGAATGACTCCAATCCTACTAGGCTTTCCTAAGGCCCTAAAAATGTATGTTACCATGCTTGGGGTGCTGAATGGTTAAGGGCTCTGTTTCCTAGCTGTAATGCTAACTGGCAAATATCTTGGTCCTATGTATACTTAATCTGGATGTTTTTAGTGTTTTAAAACATTTTAGTATTTTAAACTGCAGTACACTTTTTGAATTGTAAGCCACCAAGAATCATTGACTTAGATGGGTGGCTATAGAAATTGAATGGATAAATGAATGAATGAATGAAGGGATTCAAAGAGTAAAACAAAACTCTCATGTTTAACCTCTTACCTCCTATTTCTTCAACATTAACCATTGAAAAGAATCCTTATTCAATTTAATATTCAAAGAAGAGCAAAGCAAAAACAAGCCAAACAAAAACTGTTTCTTATAAAATGCCTCTTCCCTTGTCCCTCCAGCAATTGCACATTTTTGATGAAAGTTGTGAAAAGGTATGCTTAAGACGTCATATACAGAGAAAAGCAGATGGATGTCCATATAAATTGAATAAAATCAATACAACTAAATCAATCTGGAAATCTTAATTCAAGTAGGATTAAAAAGAGAGGTACATTATTAGTTTATTTAGATATCAGAAATGTGGTTTGCAATTGCTCCAAAAATTTTATAATTTTAAAGAATCATTTCCACTTCTAGATATTTAGTTTAACAACTCATCTTCTACTAGCGTAAATAATAGCATTCCACAGATCACATATTAACATTACTAATGTCAAGCTAACACACAAAATACCATTAGTATTCCAATCTCCTTTACTTAATTAAGTCCTAATATTTTTTGCCCCAGGAGTGCTAAAACTATTTCTTCTGTTGGAAAGGCTGCTGTAGTTACTTATGCCATGCATCCATAGATGAAGCTAATAAGGAGAACAGGAATGTTTGAATACTGATCATAAAATGCATCACCATAAGTGTGGGTATACCACCACCGTCTTAAGAAGCCATTTACAATATATTATTCTGATATCTATACCACAATTGTTTTAAAAAATAAATTGTTACACTTAAGCTAAAAATACCAGAGCTATGAATACTTCAAGAATTATTCAAAAGTGCTTTAGAATTCATGCATGCATTGTACTTCTTGGCTATCCATTAAAGCAGTTCTTTTTCAGATTCCTGTGCTTCTGAATAATTTTCAAGGCATGCAAAGCCTTACAAAATAAATAAAACAACAACAAAAAAATTAAAATTGGCAAATGAGGCACAAATAGGGGGCCAAGGAAGAATCAGTCAGGGAGTTTAACAATTACCACCGTAAATACCATATGGCTGTCAAAATCTGGACTTCGCAAAGAGTTTCACAATCACTTAACTTTCAATCAATTGTCTGGAGCACTAATACAACTGCCTCTATGGTGGTAAGTGACACGTTATTTACTTATTTAAACCATTTATATGGCTGCTCAAGTTATCCAACATTATTCTTGGCAGTGCATAAAATTCAATAAAACCTAACAAAAGGATTACAAAATAGTATTAGTACTTAGACTCATATACTGCCCCATACTGCTTTACAGCACTTTCTGAGTGGTTTACAGAGTCAGCATATTGCACTCAACAATTTGGAACCTTGTTTTACTGGCCTCGGAAGGATGGAAGCCTAAGTCAATCTTGAGCCAGTCAGGATCAAACTCCTGCTTATGGGCAGAGTCAGCCTGCAATACTGAATTCTAACCATTGTGCTACCATTGCAAAACTTAATTAAACAATAAAATGGCAATCTTAGTCCAGCATACCAAAAGCCAAGGATCATCTCTTAATAGCCTTTTTCAAAGGTCAGCGTTTATTGGCTATCTTATAAACATGAGATTACCATCCAGTTTTAGCCTCTAAAAGAGTGACATTATTAGATCCATCATTGATTGATATTGCCCAAAAGAACTAGAACAACCTGACATATAAAGTTTGTTAGCATAAATTTCCCAATTTCAATGATGGATACCGTATATGCTAAGAAAGTATTAATTTCTCCTTATTACATTCTAATAGATTTGTTAAAGGAGATTTCAAAACTATGTGCAATCTATATGGAAATGGTCACACATATGTTGAAAGGAACTTACTTTTTTCAGAATATACTAAAGTAAAAATGTATTCATTTATAATTTGATCTCTGCAGGATTATATATCAACATTTTTGTGCAAAAATTCTGAAATTCTGTGAAAAGCTGTCCTCTGCATCATATAGCCTTAGATGTTTTTTACACATGCTTAAACACTTATACATACCCCCTTATGTCAAGTTAAGAGTATTTAACACAGACACACATAACACAAAGGTTTCAACCCATACTATTTACTAGGTATTGAAGATGCATATGCCTCACCATCACTCAAGGTGAATGCTTTGAGTGACAGCCAGAATTTTAGTATGATAAATATCATGATTGCCACAGCAAAAACAGAATGTATGGTGCGTATGGAAACCCAACTACATTACATTTTTAAGCCATCCAATTCCAAAATTATTCTGGGAGGTTTTACTAAGTTAGAAAAACAACATTATATAAAACTATAACTATATATAAAACAACAACTGTCTGAAAGAATAGGGCCATTCTTCTGCATATTCCTCCAACTTAAAGTGGTCCCTATCCAAACTTAAGGCCTGGGGGGAAAAGCCAAAATTTTAAAGGATTGGTTGAAGGTAGGTAAGATGGTGGCCCTATAAATCCCTGGAAGTTAATATTCCAAAGAGAAAATGTAGTAACAAAGAAGGCCTGCCTTTGGGTTCCTCCTACGTTGTTTGCTTAATCAATGGGACTGGAAGCAAAAGC